CTACTATTGACCTTACCCCTTTCCTAAGAGGTCTGTAGGGGGTGTGCATAAGTGCACCAACGTGCCTACCATCCCTGTCCTATTGTTTCTTTTTTATTTTTCTTATATGTATCCATTTCATGTATCCATAACTTTGTTTATACTTATACCTGTTATCTTATAATTGCTTGACAAAATAAATAAATAAAATAAATAAATCTGAATGCTGCAAAAAGCTTCGGCAGTGTTAGGCAGATCTCGTTAAGGTAGCAAAACAAAGTTTGTCCACAAATTGCATGGGGGTGATCGGGAAGCAGCCATCATTTTGTGGGTGGAAGAAAAAGGTGGCTGCTTCCAGGTGACCACTGGTAAGCCCGAGAACAAGCTGCTTCATTTTGCTACCTTAATGAGGTCTGCGGTGATACCAAAATTTGGCTGCTGGAAATATAGCAGCTGCTTCCAGACTCTCGCTATATGGCTGTGCAATAACGCAATTCATTCTAACCATCTCAGAAAGCCTCAGAGCTCTTCAAAAGGTAAGTGAGTAGGAAGGAGTTTGGCCTAGTGAGGTTGGAATCGGGCTAAGGCCTTTGGGAACTTGGGAGTGGGAAAAGGCCTGTGGGGACCCAAGGGATGGAAAGCAGAACACGGGGCACCTTGGAGGGTGGGGAAGACCTTGGGAAGGGAAGGGCAGGCAACTCTGGGCCTGTGCTAGGCTTCCAAAGGCCTCCCCCACCTCTGAGGCACCCTGTGCTCCATTTAACAACCTGCATACTCATTTAATGATTCATTGGGGAAAGCAGGGTTGGGTGGGGTCATTTGTTGAGATATTTCATTTCATCAGGCTCCATTATGGTCACTAATTTGAGATATAAAGCTCTTTATGGAGTGCGTGAGAGTTAGGATTTTTTTGAAGGTCAGGACCCAAGTTAAGGAATGGTCTTGTTGATGAGGTTATGAGGCTCTGGCAATATGCTTTGAACAAATAGGTAGATGTTTAATATTAAGCTATTAATATATAATTGTTTGACTTTGTTAGGTTTTTCTTTAAAAGAACATATGGTTATTTCTTAAAATTGTCTGCAATTCTGGAGCACTAAATAATAATATGCAAAGACTACCCAATTCACACACACACACACACACCCCACATATTTTCAACTTTGAACAATGTTCAGTGAATAAAATAATGATTAACGTATTTGAGAATGACTTAACATTCCCTGAATTTTTAGAATCCCATTGATGTTATACCAAAATGTTTAAACCAAAATTAAATCTTCATTGGCTACTTGAGGCAAAGGCTCCATTGGAGGGTGGGCCCCGGCCACTGTCTTTTAATAGATACAGTGATGTTGGAAATGTCACGAGTCTCTCAGTATTTTATCCTAATCTCTCATGGACTCAACAGTCAATCTCCAATTGTTTATAAATTCATAAAGCAGGCTTTGGCTGGTGTAATGGCGTATGTAGAGCATGTAGTCCCTTGGTGTCTGGACTCTCAACCCAGGGCCATGTTTTAAGAATCCCTTGATCCTTATGGGATTGAGCAAAAAAAAAATACTAACATGGCTTTATATACAGTATCTCATTAGGTTAGAATAATTAATGATTAAATTATCAAATATAGTGCAATAGGACTTTCTCTCATTTCCTTCCTTGAAATTGTTTTGAAACAACTCTATTTTATAAATCATAATACTATAAGTTATCCCTCTGATTCTTCCCACATGTTTACCTAATTTGATCTTGACCAGTGTCTTCTTGTTTTCTTAGATGGATTTTACATAATTTGAAACTACATTTCTCACAACTTTTTTTCTTCAATTTTTACAGTTTTGAATGCCATCTTAGTCTTGATGCTCTGTTAGATGACAGAATGCTACCCAAACTTTTGAATCTACATAAAATTAAATTATCATAAAGCCATCATAAAATCTAACCCATGGCAGAAATATATGTAACAAAGGTAGCTGTCTTAGGAAGGGTAAAGCAAGCAGATAAATCTCATTTCCCAATTTTTTCTTTCATGGGTTACATTTATTAGAATTTAGTATTGTAGTCTATTATCGCTTGACATGACTCAGTTGGCACCACTATGATTACCCTATACTTTCTCCTGTGTTTATTTATGTATGTGTTTATACAGTATAGATTGTTTGAAAAATACTGAAAAGGCTTGTATCTTTCTCTTAGTCTAGAATACCTGTGTACAGGTAGTCCCTGGGTTACAAGTGTATCTTCCCCTCAGAAGAAGAATAAATGAGTTAAATCCTAACTCATATTCAACTGTCCTACTCACAAGATTTTTGGGAGGTGCTTTTGAATCAATATTGGATTGATTCCTGAAATTTTCTTGGCAAGGTTTTCCAGGAGTGGTTTGCCACTGCCTCCTTGTTAGAGCTGAGAGAGAATGATTGACCCAAGGTCTCCCAACTGGCTTCTTGCTTAAAGGGGGACTAGACTCACAACCACCCAGTTTCTCAACCAGTACTCTAACCCAGGGGTCTCCAACCTTGACAACTTTAAGCCTGGAGGACTTCAACTCCCAGAATTCCCCAGCCAACTTGGAAGTCCTCCAGGCTTAAAGTTGCCATCATTGGAGATCTCCGCTCTAAGCCAACAAAGGCTATCCCACAACTACATTTACCTAAACTAAAATCTGAGTTAAACATTAGAAAGAAGATTGACCAATTGCTTTAGAATCAGATTATTAGATTGCTCCTGATAAGTTCTTACTCTTAGAAGCTGTTTCAATGACACTAGCAGTGCTTCTAATCAGACACATTAGAAGTGTTAGTACTGAAATGTACAATAAATTACCAAGGGCTCAATACCATACTGCAGTTTTAGTAAAACAAGCAGAGGCACCTTTGATACAATTTATTATCCATCTGAAGAGCAAATGGCCATTTCCTTTTTCATTATTTTGTATTGTGGTAAGAACAATTTAAAATTAGCACTGATTTGCTCTTCATCCTAATAAAAAGAAGTACAGCTTTCCCCTAAACACTCCAGTGTATGCAAACTGAAAACCAATCCACCAGCTGGTGCCCACTTCTTCTGGGCAGCCTGCCTGCACTTCTAGTATAAGCTAGTGAGGATATTTTGAGCAAGATGGCAATGTGAGTTGTTTTATAGTAAAACAAAGAAAGAAAGGAAATAAAAAGGAAGAGAGAGAAAAAAGCCCATTTTTATCAAATTCTACTGCCTTACAAACCTGGCAAGCTTTTTTAAAAAAAAATCCCACACAGTAAACAACAACAATAACAATAATGTGTTTACCCAATTGGGCAGTTTGGCAGGGAAGGAAAAATCCAATAGAATTAATGTAAATACAATCAGTAATAATAGTAATTAGTATATTTATTTATTAAATAGGTAATGCAGTTTATCTATTGTACAATTTATCCATTGTGCAATTCATCTGGCATCTTAATTCTCCTACACAGATATTAAAATAGAAATTAAATAAAATTGCATTATGAAACATCCTTATAGTAATAAAATGGTAAAAGCAACATTTTATTCTGTTTTTAATCTGTATATACTGTCCTGAATTGTATATCAATTAAGTAGCTATATAAATTGATTAAATAAGAAATAAAACTATCAAACAATAAAAAAATGTATTTGTCTATATAAAAACACACAATTATGACCACAATTGGGTCCGGAATTTCTATTCCTAAACAAGGCAGTTGATAAGTGAGTCAGACCTGATTTTTTATTATCTTTTTGCCACAGTTGTTAAGTAAATCATGTAGTTGTTAAATGAATCTATCCTTTCCCATTGACTGTTGAAAGCCACCTGGGAAGGTCACAAATGGTGATAATTGACCCTGGAATGCCACAATTGTAAATACATATTAATTGCCAAGTGCCTGGATTTTGATCATATGACTGCATGGACTGCAATGGTCATAACTGCAAAAAAGCCATGAGTCACTTTTTTCAGTGCCACTGTAAATTCAAATGTCATGAAACAAATGGTCTGAAGCAGTGGTGGAATTCAAATAATTTAACCACCGGTTCTTTGCCCTAATGATTTCTTCCAACAAGCAGTTCACCAAACTGCTCAGAAAGTTAACAACCAGTTCTCCCACACTCGTGAGAACTGGCTGAATCCCACTACTGATCTGAAGTTTGGGAGTACCTGTATACAAATTGTGAGCTGCTGTTAAACAATTTGCTTGAAACTAAATAATAGCATTATTGGACTGTCAGTTTGGTGTACTAGTTCAAGTCACTAGAGTAGAAATCCTAGATTTGGTCAATTAAAAAAAACCTACCAACTTATGGTGGACCAGCATGGTAGGTTATACCCCACAACTTCAGTGAAGAGGCCTTCAATGAAGAGGATGGATTCACTGACCATATTAAGCAATAATGTGGCTTTTTTCAATTGGCTAAGCGTGTTCCATTAACCCAGCCAATGAGTTTTTAAAACAATGCTTTACTTCTCACTGTATTATTTGAACCTTGTCTGTTGCACTTATTCTAGAAATTGAGTTAAAACAAACTAGGGTTTATTTATTTTTATTTATTTATCTGATTTGTCAATCACTTATAGGATAATAGACATAAGAATAAACATGAGTATGAATACAGGAAATAGGTACGAATAAATGGGGACAATAGGATAGGAACAGTAGGCATGGTTGTGCACTTATGCACACCCCTTAATTTATTAATTATCATATAATTAACTTAGTTTAGTGTAATGTGAGAGCCCAATTAAAATTCAATAGTAGGAAACCTGGAATAGTAAGGAAACCTGGAAAGCTGCAAAGTAGATGCTTGAATCAGCATCCAGTCTCTGGACCTTCCTAAGCACCGCTGGCCTATGGCACTGTTGGAAGAAATATCCATCTGGTTCAGTTCCAAGCTGGGAAGAAACATGGATGTTGATTGGAAAGATGGTTTAATGGTGAAGCAGAAGCACATGTTTGTGATTCTGGTGCAGCTGAACACATTGAGTTGAGAGTGGGGGTCTTTTATACCTTCTCCTGGGCTTTGCACTTGAGCTTCCTGTTCTGGTGCAAGAACATTTATTCTATTAGGTGTTGTCAGACTCCCATGGGGCCCTGTAGGGGTCATGTTTGTCTGAACTAAGATTGGTCTAAGCTAACTTTGGACTGCTGATACAATGCTCTGCTGCTAGATGGGTTATACTATTATGTCTTGGAGGCAGAGGTGGGATTCTACCAGTTCAGACCGGTTTGGGCAACCTGGATGTTAAGTTTTCATTTGGTTCATCGAATTGGTATTTTAACTGACTGTCTGGCCCCACCTACTCCTCCCCTCCTCTCTTTACGTGGCCCATTTTTAATGCAGCTAAGTGCAGGGTCCACACAGAGGGTCTGGGAGGGGGAAAACAGGCCTTCTGGAAGTCCAGACACAGGCCTGTTTCTGGCTTCCGGAGGGCCTCCAGAGCCCAGGGGAGGCCATTTTCACCCTCCCAGAGGCCTGGGGGAGGCCTCCGGACCCCTGGGAAGGCAAAAAAAAAAAAATGCCTTCCCAGAAGTTCCGGTAGGCCATGCCCACCATGGTCATGCCCACCCAGCAACTGGGCAGCAAACCAGTTGCTGGGATTTTTGACTCCCACCCTTGCCTGGAGGGTCATGTCTTAATCCCATCACCCTGGAGTTGGAGATCTTTTGTCTTATAGATAGGCTGGCTTTCTTAATGGGCACCAAATATCTGCTGTGGGCAGGGAGTTGCCTTCTATCTTTAAAACATGTTTATTCTTTTATCATCCAGGAAAATATAATATTCTGACTTTTTTAATATTTCCCAAAATATTTCATTCTTCTAGCAGAGGGGTGGGTGCTAACTCTCTACATCACATGGCACTGCTGTTGCTCACTACAGCTTCCTTTCACCAGACCCATCCTTGGCATCTGGACCATCTATCAATACATTACAGATGCCCATTTTATTTTATTTTTTTCTGTGTCTTTGTCTTTTAAATCTCTTCTTTACTAGCAAAGTTTTAATACCATGATAGCATGTACCAATTCTACCTAATCCTCTAGTTACGAGGATGCTGTAAGTTGAATTTTAAATATGAGTCTGCACATATTTAGAGCAGTTTTGTTTTGTTTTGTTTTGTTTTTTAAGCAGAGCCGGCAAATTGTCTTGTAATTTAGCAACAACTGCAAAACCAGAAATAGCACTGTGGCAGGGAGCGAGGATATTATTTATGAGCTTCACAACTGAAACAATACTGAAAAGCTGAAGAGATTAAAATAATGTATTAATTAGACTGAGGCTTCACTACATGGCTGTCTATAGGTGGTTTCCCAGAATATAGCAGGTAAAACAGAGATGGACAGCCTGTGTCCCTAAGAATGCCTGCAGGCTTCTGCTTCCTTTCAAAAGGGCTCAGCAAAGAATTAATTTCTGAGAGACAAGCCAAGAGTTTTGTGGCTCAAAATGGAGAGAGAAGAGAGTGTCAAATAATGAGAGATCGATAGGAAATAGGTCAGAAACTGAAAAAAGGGATATGCTACAAACAGTATTGTTCCATATTAGCAGGCTTGAAACCCTGCGTTCCTATTGGTCTAGAAAAGCCGGATCGTGATTGGATGGCTTGAACGTTCCTGATTGGCCCATACAGGGTTTGCCGCGATTGGCTGAAACCAAGAGCGGCAAACTCAAAGAGTTGTCATTGGCTGCCTAGCCGCAACCAGCTCTATAAGAAGAGCTGCCGCACGCTAGGGTTCCCCAGTCTCAGAATCTATCTATTAAATAAAGAGCTGTTGTTCACTACTCAAGCCTCGTCTATTCATGGGACCCACAGACCATACTTAACAAGTATAGATCTCCTTCTATTTGGGGCTGTAACTTCATCCACTTTTGGTCCTTCACTTATGAATCCAAACAGGTTAACTCTAAGGGACTGCTGTCCTTAACCGAGGGTCAGAATCTGAAATCTGTCTGTGAGCTACCTCTTTTGGATTAGAGAATGTCCTTGAATTTTGAATAATGTGCCAATTGCCACTTTTCAAACAGCAGAGCCAGCACAAAAGTGTGTGGGGTCAAAAAGGAAAAGAAAATCCAGGTAGAATTCAATTTGAACTAAATATAATGTATTGTATTTGTTCATTTCTTTATTAGATTTATGTAGCTCCCCATTTCAACAGCTCTGGGTGATTAACAATACCAAAAAGATAAAAACATATACCAAAACACACACACAGGCAAAATTCCCAGCCGCTGGAAAATATTACAAAAGCAATCAGAAAGGGCCCTGCCCAGCCAGCAGCTAAGACATGCAGCTTGTGCCTCCTGATATGAATTGCTATCAGGTTTTTGATTATTTTTCCTTTATAGAATACTACATTTCAGTTTTCAAAATAACACGCAGAACAAGGAAATAGGTGAGTTTTGGTAGTTTTTGCTTTAGTATAAAATTAAATTAAAACTTTTTAACTAACCTTCAAAGGAGAATTAAAAGACAAATAATTATTTTTATTTGTTCTGCTGTTGTATCTCAGAACAACTACCTGTTCTTTCTTTGCAGGCATATTCCAATTTAATGTCAGCGGCGCATGATCTGAGTTTTGTTACAGTCAGTCACAACATTTTGCAAGCAGCAATGAGGTTATGAACACTGTATTTTTTATTAAGATTTTAAAAATAAATACAGCCTTTTAAAATATCAAGCAGGTGTTAGTTGAGATTTTGTGGATTTAGACAAGCTTAGGAAACTACTTCAGTAAGAAAATGTTTGCCTTGAAAATCTAATAGAAAATTTAATGATGGCTCCCCAAAGCAATTCACTATGAAAAAAAAAAACCTATTACATGGTGCAATGAGGCTTTCCAGCAATTTTCTGAAAAAAATTAATAAAATGTTTCCCTTTCACTACTCAAACAATATTGGGAACTTCAATTAATTATTTAACAATGCCCCAAAAGAACCTCCTCATTAAGATTGTAACTATCTTTTAAGACCTTTTAGTTGAACACTCCATTACTACACAGGTTTCAGATATACCTTTTTTTAAAAAAAGTGAGATTACAATTCAGACAGACTTTTTGAATGCGTTTTCCCCAGAATACCAAGACTTTTTTGTTTTAGGAAGCAGATCTTTCCATTCCATCAAAAGAGGCTTTTGGGTCTTTTGAGGCTTGACAAGCTGGGATTCAAAAACGAAGCTAGGTCCATTTTTTTTAAAAAAAATATTAAGATTTAAGCAGGATTTCTTCCCAGATAAATTTGCAAGTTTTCAAGTTTGGTCCATTTTACCAGATTGTAAATATTTTAATGCAATGTATAAATCAGGAGCCTAACTGAAACCATACAGTCAACTGGATTTTTGAATCTTGATATCCAAATGTCCATTGAAGATAGCAGTATCATAAATAATATAACATAAATGTAGCTGCATCCTGTGGGGGCTCTTTGCTCTCTAAGGACTTTGATGCAACACAGGGTATCAAATCTGTATACAATACTTTGTTGCAACACACATTTTCCCCAATGCCACACTATTGGTCTGCATCAACTCCATTCTTTTAGGACTTTGCAAGATGACGTTGCCAGCAGTGGCTTCTCTGAATGATGAAGATAGACAGGTCCCACTAAAGACACATGATTTAGTGGAAATAATATATGATTGTCCTATTTATTTGCGTGCATCATAAGCTCACCTTTTTCCACCTCACCCTTGGAACCCAACTAAGTATGATCATGCCCTGGCAATATTTTTTTTCCTCTATCTCCTCCTGACATTATCTTTATGTCATTCTCAGACCATAAGTGAAAATGGTTTAAATCTATTTCACCATTAAAGTTGTACGTTTCCTTTCTACTGATAGCATCCAAAGAGCCTGCTGAAGATATCAAGCCTGTTGTGTATTCCTACCCATTATCTGTACAGTAGGTGAAATCAGACAGGATTCTTGGCCGTTTCAGATTATGTCCTATCAGATGACAACCTCATTCACCGTCACTCTGTAATTGCCTCCCTAAAGGATCAGACATAGCAGTGCTGTGCTGGTGGTTCTTTTGACTTTTGCAGGAATTCATTTGTTCATTTCTTCATTCATCCAATTCCTGCGCTACTCAACTCCAGAATCATTCCAGACAGCTTCAGAAGGGGAAAAAAAGATAAAAATGACATTATATATAATTGTTGCTTGGAAATAACAAAAAAGAGACAAAAACCCACCCCATTCATTTGTTTTAAATGGGGCAGTCCGTACAGTAACCCAAGGCTTGGGGTAAGAACCAGGTTTTTAAACTTTACTTACATGTAGGTAGACGAGGGCCATTATGGCCCCATTCACATGACCCTTGTTGCACCTGCTCCTCCTACAAAATTATCCCCTTTTTCTTCCTCACCCCCCTCCCCCACTCCAGGCCACCAACCCAGAAAGGTTGTGGAACTCTGATGTACAGCATTAAAGGCATTAACCAGCAACTTGAGTTGCACCTGAAAGCTTACTTATAGATCTATATTGTTTTAAGCACTGGGGCACCTTGCCTAACTTTCATTTATCATTATACAAATATTTACCTGCCACATCCACATGTCTATCCATACAACAGAAGCCTTTTATTATTCTTTTATTATTTTAATAAAGCATGTTTATTGTAAAGTAAATGGTAAATGGATTCAAGGAATTATTTAATTTGTTTAGCAGCAGTTGAAGCAGTAAAGAAACAAGGCAAACATATGGGTGCTGCCATTTTATATCCCTCAGAGAATATCGGAAGCACTCAACAGCCAATAAATTTGAATGGGGATCTGTGGGAACTGCACAAAAGCATTAAAGTGCTCAGTGAACAGTCTTGTAAAGGCTTTAACTCTATGACCTTTATCAGTTTAATGCAAGACTGAAATGGCATAATGCTGAAATGATGGGACCAATTCTGCCCCCTTCCCCATTACCTCCCAACAGAACATTATCTCCCAACTAGAAGTTGCATTTGTTACTGTTTAAGTGGTGGGGTGAAAAAAAATCATAAATAAAAGTGATGATTGGGATTCAGTTCTCTTTGTGACTCAGTCTGATTTGGTTGGTTTCTTTATGGCCGAATGAGGAGGGACACAGGAAGTGAGCCTAAAAAATAAAAGACATACTGTTAGATGCAGTCCATTCCTGTCACAGTAATGGTTGTTTCTGCAGCCTGCAGCTGACACATTGAAATGAAAGCAAAGCCATAGGAATCAGCCAAACATTTTGCTTATCACATACTGCTCAAACATAATCAAGATAGCAGCATTTAGCAGTGGCTCAGAACAGATGCAATAAAGGCAAAATAAGGATCAGCAATGAAGCAGAAAATGTCATCCTGCTAAGTTTTCTGTGGATGGCACAAGAATGAGTGCATAGGACTTTAATGGTGGGGAAAGACCCTTAGGTGACCTAGATGTGTAGTGTGGTTTTCAGAGAAGTCTAGAGTGAAGGTTAGAAGGGTCAGAGTACAGCATGACAGCATGATGTTATTAGCTGAGTCACTTTGACAAAAGCACTGAATCCTGCAGATAATATCACAATCAAATAGCTCCCCAATGACAGTAGTATAGTTTATAAATATATCTTAAGAATAGATTGTGTGGGTATAATTATCTGCAATAATAATATAAATATGAATAATAATATTATTTATATAATGGTGGTCATTCTTCATGAAACTCTTCACAGTTTGGCTCTCCCACAGATTTGGCAAGCTGCGTTCAGAAAATTGCCAGAGATAAAATAGATGGATTCACACTGCTAGTGGCAGCAAGAAACCAGTTATTTTCAACCAGACAGCTATCTTATCCCTGACAGGCAGAATTTCTGAGAGAAAAGGGAAGCTGGGTTTCTTCCTCTTCCTCATAGTCTGTCTAATCATGATACAGAGATAAGGGCTGTCATGTTCGGGGGAACATAGAAACATAGTATGTATCTGTGCATACGTGTTTTTGTAGTCCTCATGTTCCCATTAGATAGTGAATATGATGCTGAACTAGAAACATACCTTTCTGTGATTGGATGTCTAACAGAGAAAACAAGTGCATTGGAAAAACAATATCTCAACCTAAGAGGGAGAAGAAGTGTGAGAAAGAGATTCAGAGCAATTCTGTACCAGTGGTGAAATTCAACCACATTGTGCCATCTTGGGAGAGGTGGTAGAGATGATTTGAATCGGTTCGGAGAGGTGGTAGGGACGATTTGAATCAGTTGACCCCACTCACGCCCACCTTCTTCCTTTTAGAGACTGAGTCCCACCCAAGCCATGCCCACCAAACCATGCCCATAGAGCTGGTAGGGAAAAATTTTGAATTTCACCCCTGTTTTACAGTATTAATTCCTCTACATATAAGTTGAGCTGGAGAATGAGCAAGAAAAATATTTCAGACCCATGGACAATTTATTATATATAATACACTAAATGTTCAAATTGATTGCCATTTTCTTTTAAACACTTTCTTATTCGTTTGACATATGATCTTGACCATTTCTAAATAGAGTTACATTTTATCTAAAAAATAAATTTAACAAAACGTATTGGTGTGATAGGGGGGCTGATTTTAATATAACCTATAGAGCTGGTGTACTGGTTCACACACCAGGCTAGAACCCAGGAGACTATGAGTTCTAGACCTATAGTAGGCACAAAGCCAACTGGGTGACCTTGGACCAATCCCCCTCTCTCTCTGCTCTAGGAAGGAGGCTAGGGCAAACAATTTCTGAAATCTTGCCAAGAAAACTGCAGAGACTAATCCAGGCAGTTGCCAAGAGTCATAAACACACACACACACACATTATACATACACATGCATTCATTTTTCTGTCATACAAATTAATTTATGGCCTCATTTCTTGGCCCATTCAAGCAAAGATATTTGACTCATTACTGATCTCCAAGTGCTCTCTGTTTTAATGTGTGTATCAAGTAATTGAAATGAAATTTCTCTCAGCAGATGCTACTATCACGAAAATTGTGAGAAGCATCCTAAATCAGTATTATTATGTAGGGACAATGCAACTTCCTCAGAAAATATCCAACATTTCTATTGCCCATGATTATGAAGTGATCATACTGTTCACGGAAAACAACAACCGTGCATTTTACTGAGTCTGTATCATTTAAAATCAGCTGTCATTCTTTCCTATGATCTTGTTGCCATGGCTTAATGTCTCCTTTCAAAATAACAGAAAGACTCTAAATGGTTTGTTGGTTTTGGAACTAAACACTCAAAAAAGGTGTTACTGCTGCATGATCATCTGCAAGTCTAATTTGCTTCTCTAGAGGTTGTCCTTCATTCTGTACTGCAGAATGTATTGTCCATTCATCCATTAGTATTGCAGAAATAGGAATGAGATACCATATATACATTGCTTAATAGTAACTTACCAATGAAAATTCCTAAACAGGGACTGCTGTGTTTTGCTTGATAGATTATAAGGAGTAGAATGTAACAGCTTCTTTGCATTCTCCCAAGATGTTATTGATATCGATAAACCATGTTGTGGCTTGGTTCTTTATTTGGACTTTATCTCTAGAGTTGATAATATAAAAGTTGACAATATAAAAGTTTTCACAGGCCCTTATTCTGCTGCCACTTGAGCTAACTTAAGCTCCTGCCTTTCTGCTAGCTAGACCTACAGTTGCTAGTTGTGGCCACCATTGCAAACTTGGTAACTGCTAGAGATCCTAATCACTGTAGGAATTGAAAGCACTCTGAATCTCCATAGATTCAGCACCCTGGGCAATATTGCATTGTTGGTACTCTGGATGCATTTTAGCTTCCTGGGTTGAGTATTCCAGAATTCTTACTATTGCCAGTGCCCTGGACCTAATTTTCATTCTGGGCCTAATGAAGATGTCTTCAAGCAGTGGTCCTCTCTGCTGTGTGGTTGATGTGTTTCTGAGTTCTTTCCTGCCATTGCAAAAGCTCTCTGCTTTAGTTCTTCTCCCCTAACATTCCATAGCATGAGGCAAAGTGGCAATGATAAGGTACTTCACTCTGCAATTATCTGTTCCTGAGGTCAGGCTATAGAGTAGAATAGAGTAAAATAGCAGTAGCAATAGCACTTAGACCTATATGCTGCTTCATGGTGCTTTTACAATCTTCTCTAAGCAGTTTACAGAGTCAGCATATTGCCCCAACAATCTGGGTCCTCATTTTCTTATCTCAGAAGGATGGAAAGCTGAGTCAATCTTGAGCCTGTTGAGATTCGATCTGCCAAATTACAGGCAGCTGGCAGCCAGCAGAAGTAGACTGCAATACTGCATTCTAAACACTGTGCACCCCGACTCTTAATAGTCTAACATCCTGTTTTTTGTTGGGGGCAATATGCTGACTCTGTAAACTGCTTAGAGAGGGCTGTAAAGCACTAAGTGCTATTGCTATACTACCCACTCTGGCTTCTGTAGCTGAATTGCTAGGTATTATTATAGGTATATTTGTGCTAGGAGATTTCAATTTCTATGTCCTAGAGGTGGGATCTAGAATGGCTCAGGAGTTACAGCCAAAATTCTAGTGCTGAGCTTATTTATGGTGATTATTGGCACAATGTATATACAGACAATTCTCAAATTATAACTATTAGTTTTTACAACTGTTTGCATTTACAATGGCTTTGAAATGGATGCTTTACAATGGCTGGTAAAGCAACTTCGATCATCATGAAAGGTTGTCATCCCTCCTCCTGCGATCATGTGACCACATTTTGGATGCTTGGCAATCTCTTCTCGTTTACAGCCTCTTGCCAAATGCCCTATGATCAAATGATTGCCATTTGCAATCTTCTATTCCAGCTTCCCCAGAAGGTCAATGGGAAGTCTGCAAGTGGAGGATTTGAGATCAGTTTTCCCAGTGCACCAAGGGATTTCTTTTCCCCTCTGTTCAGGGAATGAAATCCTCACACACATTGGAGAAATAGACCTCAAATGATGAGAGGGCATTGACATATTAATATTCAGTGAAATATTAATGCATATGCAGTATCACATCCAACAACACTGTTTAATAAGTTTTGTGTGCTATTGGGAAAAAATGGCTGGGTTAATCACAGACAGCTGTGATATGTTTTCAATGTTCATGTGATATAGAAATCCACATTGACAAGAACAAGCATGATAAGTGGAACAACATCCTGAGGGTTATCTAAGGTTACTTTGATTTTTTAAACTCTATGGATGTAGGCTGGATTCCTGGATACATGAGGCAATCTATTGATCCAGCAGTGATGAATTACTTCAACTCAAAAATTTTCTTCCCAGGAAAAAGGCAATAAAAATGCAGCTACAGGGAGCCCTCGATGAAGTAGATTGTCTCTATTCTTCTCAACTGGGCTTCAAACCCAGGTATGGAACTGAAACTAAATAGGATAGGACAGGACAGAACAGAACAGAATAGAATACTTTATTGGCCAAGTGTAATTAGACATACAAGGAATTTGTCTCCAGTGCATAGGCTCCCAGCGTACATGCAAAACAACCAAGTAATAATAATCACAATATCAAAATCATCATCATCATAATGATACCAATAAGAGAAGGTAATGGAACAAATGAGAAGGATAAAAGTAATACAACTATGTTACATGGGTACAGTAAATATACTTAGACATAAGACAGCAGTGTAGGAATTAGATGTTCAATATATGCTTTTCAAAAGGCAACTAAACTTTCAGTTCTTCCAGGACTGAAGAAACTTCTTGGATGAGAAGTGAAACATTTTCAAGGAAAAAAACAAGAAAGTCCAGTTGCCTTTTAAAAAGCACTTTCAGAACAATCATGACTGTTGTAATGTCGAAGCAGTCGAGGTGTTTGATCATGATCAACTGATTCATGATGAACTTTATTGGAATCTAGTCTTGCATTTATACACATTTTTAGTAATCCTCCAACATTGGTTAACTTTGGTTTCTGCTTGACTTTCATTATTGTTCAGCATAGTAACTAACACAATTAATGATCTCTAGTCAAAGTCCAACATATGTTTACTTCCTCTCTCTAAACCTCCTTTAGATGAGTAACTTTGTTTGCCTGAGTTGTATTTGCTTGGAAACATTCTTTTCTCCTGAGGTTTGCCATCCAAGATAAAGACATTCCTGCAATTACAACTCTACATATCCTCGTTTTTTATTTTAAATGGAGGATTCAAAGATTTATGAATGTATTGCAATTGTAAAGGAGTAAGAGAGGGGAAAGCAGGATGAAACAATGCAAATAAATTTGGAATACATTGAATAAAATAACAGGTTACAATTAGTACAATAATAATAATTATAACATAAAAGAAAAACTGTCTGAGCCAAGACCAATCAGGAAGCCAATTGATTAGCCACTCAAAAGGTGAGTACTGAGCATGGATATTATTTTGAATGTATGACTGTAAATTGGCAAGCTCATCCTCAATAGTTTTATTCAAAGAATGAAAAATTCTGAGGATGAACATTAGTGGCATATTTATACTAGATTGATCAGAGGCATTAAAAATAGGAAAATTGTCAGGATACATATCAGGAGCTATATTAAGTCCATACAAAGAAGAATTAAAGGTACCTGACAACCAATAGTAGTCAGAACAATAACTATAATTCCCTAGCTTTTTTAATATGTGCTGAGCAGCATCATAATCAGACCAGTTATGAAGCTAAGTGTGTTTAGCGTGACAACAGAAACACAGACCCCTTGTAAATTGACTAACTTTCAAGTAACACCAACGAACAGAATTCAATTGCATAGGGGGTTTAGAAAATAGCCAGGAGTGTGAAATAAGATTGTAGTTGTGAGACAATAAATGTAGAAGACATGATCAAGTTAGGGGTAAAAGAAATTTGACCAAATGCCATTGGGGGCTCATAGTATAAAGTAATATTTGACATGGGTCATAAACATGTATTGGGCATGATGAACCCACAAATTAGGGTTAAGATGAACCACAGAAGTGTCATTTTGAGCAGAAACACCATTAACCATAAACAAGAAAATACAAAGTAAAATTGTAACAGAATTAGCAGTAATAATAGCAAAAACAGCAGCAACAAGATTTTCAGGAGTCTGAGGTAATGAGGCCTGTTGCAGTTGTTATTGAGCTTGATATGTAGTAGATTTAACCTGGCCCCAAGCGATGGGTTGCGGGTGCTTCAACCTTGGAAGCCGGACTTATGTGTTCAGATGAAGATTGAAATCTGGAATTGGGCTGTGAAGGCCCTGATGCCATGCCATGATACTGATGAACACAGCGCGCTGGAACCCACACTGCTTGTCGAGTAGAAGGATCTTCCATGGCAGCATAACCACAACCCCAGTGGTGTAGGGCCTTTCCAGGTTGGATCTGGAGCTTGGCAATAATTTACCAAAGGCCTTGCTAAAGATTCAGTAGTTCGAAAATGCAAATTAACAGGTGAGTCTGCAAGAGAATCTAAAAAGGTTAAATAATTCCAAGTATATAATGCTACAGCAATGAGATTTTCAATCTTTCGCAGATGGTAAGGGCCAGACTCAGTTTGTAATTGTTTTTGAAGCAATGCCTTAAAAGTACGATGAGCTCACTCAACTATAGCTTGACCCTGAGAGTTGTAAGGAATTCTGTGCACTAAAGTAATATTCCATTTCTGACAAAAGGTTTGAAATTCCTTACTAATATAAGCTGGGCCATTATCAGTTTTCAACTGAGAAGGCTGACCCATTACAGCAAAAGAGGATAGGCAATGAGAAATAACATCCTTTAAGGATTCATCTGCCTTCTGATTTCCTTCAGTCAAGGCATTAGTAAAGGGAGTATGACTCCGAATGTGTTCTACATACAAAGAATACAAGCGAGTTTCCAAACTATTCTTTAAAGATAAAAACAAGGATAACAAATTCTTATCCAATGAGAGAGCACAATAAGAAAAGGGAAGAGATTGCATAACTAAATACACATATTGAGTATCAACAATCAAGTTAATAGGTTGGTCATTGAACAATTGTAAAGCTAAAATCACAGCAGCCAGCTCAGCATGTTGAGCTGAAGTCCGTGTGGCAGTAAATTTAGAATACCATTGTTGTTGAATCTGCCAGACAACCACACCCCTTGTAGGTGAGCCATCAGTAAAAACTTTAAGAGCTTTAGAAATAGGATTTTGCACAAAAATGGAAGAAAAGGCCAGATTTAAAGTAGTAGTAACCACTATTCTAGGATCCTTGGGTAAAGAATACAATAAGTTTCCCACATATTGAGAAAAGGCTATCTGATATGATTCTGAAATCATCATCAAATGCTCATGTTCAACTTTTGTACGAGTGAAAGCTATGCTAATGAGATCCTGTCCTGTAAGATGTAAGACTCTTTTACGACCTTTGATAACCAAATCTTCTAATGCTGATTTGATAAGGATAAATGTTTCTAGGGGGAGTAGCAGACAAATTAATCCATTCATGAATGTTGACTGCTTGTGGAGAGGCATTAGAATAAAGACATCCTGTGGGTAAGGGTGCAGTAGGAAGAATAGCTAAGCAAAATCCTACTGTTAAGGATGTTATCCTGTCCACATATCGATGCTTAAACTTATTCAATATTTCTTGAAGGCATGTTCTTTGAACATCAGTTAATACAATTAGATCTCCTGGTGATTGTGCTCCCTTCAAAGACTGAAATAAGGGCAACATATCACCAGTTGTAATATAGAAGAATGGGCGTGCCCAATTAATAATGCCAAGTAATTTTTGCCATTGTACTAAGGTATATGATTTCTGTACTTGTAATTCAGGAAGAATTGGAATGGAGAAATTGTGCAACATTCTATGTCCTAAGTAGGTATAAGGTTCTACTTTTTGAATTTTGTCTGAGGCTATGTACAATCCCTGTTGTGCCACAGTGTCTGTTAACTCTTTTAACAACTTAGATTCATCAAAATCTGGGGCTGCTATCAATATATCATCCATATAATGATAGACTAAATAGGAAGGAAATTTATTCCTAAAGGGTTGAAGAGCTGCAAGAGGCGAAATTTCCCATTTTTCTTTTTTATAACAAAAACAGGAGTATTCCAAGGACTAGTAGAAAGTTCTATATGACCAGCGGCCAATTGTTCTTGAACCAAATGTTGTAGAGCAGCAAGTTTTTCCCTTGATAATGGTCATTGTTCCACCCAAACCAACATAGAACAGAGCCATTTAAGAGGAAGAGCCATCATCAAGAATCAAATGAACATTAAGAAGAGAAAGGATATCATGGCTCCAAATATTAGTATGAATATCTAGAATGTATGGTTGTAGGAAAAAAGACTTACCAGCAGATGTTGTAACATTAATTTCTTGAACATTCTGCCAAGCAGCTGTAGAACCTCCTATTCCCCACAATGAAGAAACTGTCATTTTTGCCACTGTACTGGCCAATGTAAAGAGGAGATGACAGTAACATCGGCTCCAGTATCCAATAACCCTTGAAATGGTTGTTTATTTAGGAAGAGTGTTAACAAAGGACGAGAGGAGTTCAGCTGATGAAGTAAACCTACAGATAAAGAAGTTGATCCAAATCCTGCATCCACACGATTACCTACACCAGGATATGGATTTTCATATAGAAGAAGAAACAATTGAACAACAGAAGAATTGCAAGGAAGAACTTGAGGAAGATTCACCCAAATCTGAATCATGAAGATACCAGAGTAATCTGAATCTATTACCCCAGGCACAACAAAACAGCCCTTTCTGTGTGCAGAAGAACAAGGCAAAATTAAGCCAACTAATCCTGAAGGAAGAGGTCCTTTAAATTGAGGTGAAACTATTTTAACTTCCATGGGAAATTTAAACTGAATTTCCTCTTGAGTGATTAAATCAATCCCAGTGCTACCAGCTGTGGCTGGGGGGGGGGGGAGTGAGAGAGACTGCTGGAGGAATCAAGTGATATTTGCTTCCAATCTTCAGGGATCATTGTATTACCATTTTTTATTTCTTCTACAAGTCCTCTTGTAAAATTACCACTAATCCCACAGTCTGTAACTACCTTTTTAAACTCTCCTAAAATCTGATAAGGCAAACCCTCCTATTCTGCTACTTGCAGTCCAAGCTGTGGCCCCTGACCAGGATGATATTGTACTGGACAAACAGACAGTAATTCTGCAAGTTCTGTTCCTGAGACAGAGGCATCTTTTTTACAGTTTTCAACCATTTTCTGAAAAGAAGACTGAATAATAGAGTCAGGAGGCTTTTGCCCTGTATCTGCAGGAGCTGAGGGAATGGAAGACATATTCAGGTGAAGAAGGGGAACAAATGACAGCATTAGTATAACATGAAGGTGGAGGTGTTATAAGAGAAAATTCATTGTGACCAAATTTTTCAATTGCATATCTACATAAATGCCACACTTGCAAAACTTCTATTTCTGCTCTAGGTTAAGTATGCAATGTTTTCCCTATACGTTCCCAATCAGTTAATTTTAAAGACCCCTCTTTTGGATACCATAAGCACTGAGCTGCAATCTCCTGGACCAGCCTTAAGAGATTTTTCTCTGGTACCTGAGTATTATTTTTCTTCAACAAATAGCCTAATTCATCTACATGCTTCCTTTGTTCCTCAGAAAGCAAAGACCCCATACTTACAGAAACCAAAAATGTTTGAAGAAACCCCAAGGGTTGAAGGTGCACCAAATCCTTGCCGGACGAAGTAAGAGGGTCCCTGTTTATGCGCCACTTGTTGTAATGACAAGGCAGTCGAGGTGTTTGATCATGATCAACTGATTCATGATGAACTTTATTGGAATCTAGTCTTGCATTTATAAACATTTTTAGTAATCCTCCAACATTGGTTAACTTTGGTTTCTGCTTGACTTTCAGCACAGTAACTAACACAATTAATGATCTCTAGGCAAAGTCCAACATGTGTTTACTTCCTCTCTCTAATCCTCCTTTAGATGAGTAACTTTGTTTGCCTGAGTTGTATTTGCTTGGAAACATTCTTTTCTCTTAAGGTTTGCCATCCAAGATAAAGACATTCCTGCAATTACAACTCTACACATGCCTTCGATGATTGAGAATCTCCATAGAAGACTAAAACTATATTGGTCATTCTCAGGGATGGTGCTAATGGATCTCCCAATGATATTTGATACAATTGATCCTAGTAACCTCTGAGACTGCTTTCGATAATTGGGAGTTGTATTTTTAGTGTTTTTGTGTTTCAGCTTCTATTTGAATAGACACCTCCAACTGATGGTAATGGGAGATGAGCAATAGAACTTCTGGCCACTCCTGTATGAGGTTTGGTTCTTTGTTCCTTTGTTGTTATCTGCTATGTGAAATTGCTGGATTATGTCTTTCATTAATGTAGGATGAAGTATAATTAATATGTTCTAAATACCAGTATTTACCCTACGCTGGATAAAAGTTACTAGATGAACTTATTCAGCCTCTGGAGACAATAAAGAATTAGATGGAAGAAAATGAGCTGAAACTAAATCGTATCAAGATGGAATTCTTCTTGGTCTAGAAGCCATTAGATTTCATACGGGTCCCTAGCCAGAAGGAACAGGTCCATGACTTAGAGGAAGTCCTGAATTCCAAAAGTGAAGCTTTTGCTTCAGCATCAATTGAGGCCAGCACCAGAATCAGTTACCTACTTCACTTTTCAACTATTTCTTCAGAATTGTAGACCCTAATAAAAGCCTCCCCCCAGTGTCTGCATTATTTTGAGCTTGGGTGTTTGTAACATTATCATCTGGGGTTGCCATTGAAAATTATCTACAGTTTTAAAGTAGCACAGAATGTATCAGCAAACATGTTGATGGATGAAAGCTGCTTCAGCTCTGTTACACCTTTATCACTGAGAATGCATTGGCTACCAGTCTGTTTTGAGTACAAAGTGCTGGGTTTTGACTTATGGCTTGGATCCATATTACCTTTCGCACTCTCTTCTCTGAACAGTTCCAGAATATTTACAGGCCAAGATAGCAACCAAATTAAATGTCAAGATATTCTTGGCTGTAGCTAAACAAGGCCATGCTTCCACTGATTGCATAGCAAGTAGAGACATCTGTAGGATCAAAGGTTTTTGGCAAAAACACAAAAAACAAAAGTATTATTGTGCCATTGCAATACAAGACCTAACCTTTTCATATATCCTGCATAATCACAGTGCATGTAACCACAAGGGAAGAACTTGCATTGATACAATGCAATGGTACTTTCGTCATTTTTCTTGCTTGACTCTCTGACATCAAGATCATTTGTTGCTGTACTTATCGCTTCAAAGTTTTAAAAGATTTTTAAAAGGGCAAGCCATTTTCAAAGTTCTTACCATCAGGCTTAAGCATCCTCAGAGCACCAAAACACGCTTTACTTTCTTATTGACAAGCAAACACAAAAGAAACTTTCCATGTCATGATATTTTTTGAAAAAGACCAATATAATTACAGAGAAACATTGTTATAATGAGTAAGTTATTTCAATACTGTGACCTTGTTTTTTGTTTTTAGAACACTATGACTAGTCCTGATTTGTTGTCATTCTCTGAGTGCTTAATGGGCATAGAATCCCAATAATAGGTTGGTTGCAATTTGTGTTCGCATTATAATTAATTGTTTCATTACTGCCTGTGTCATTATTTTAGTTGTGTGGCATTATTTCTTAGTTTGAATGAATGGAATTGTAATATAGAAATAAAAGAGTGCAGTCAATGAATATTTCAAACTGTCTTCCCTGTATATTTTGGGGTATTTAAAATCAATATCCAAAATGGTTAAGAGATGTGCCCAAATGTCTGTTTCTAGATGTAATTTTCTTTTCTTTTCATTCTTTAAACATTTGTGGATTCTCTAGCTACTCTCTACCACTGCTTTCTTCTTCTGTTCCTCCAATCTGCTCATAAAAATCTTGTGCCTTGTCTAAGTTATCTATCCTGATCCTTTTTTCCTGCCATGTTACCAACAAGCCTTCTGGAATTAACCATTGAAACATGTTCTTCTGGATAAGTTGTGTTGCCAAAAACTTATAGTCTTTTCTCTGTTCACGCACCTTCTTGGAAACTTGCTTCAGGGTTTGCACTTCTTTATCTTTATAAACCAAAGATTCATTTCGCATTATCTTGTATATTATGTCACGTACTTGTTTCTTGGCAAATCACATGTGGACTTCCCTGGGTAACCTGTTACTTCAAGCGTAACTCATTTGAACTCTATAGGCCTCGTCGATTTCTAGCAGGATCTCTTGGGTCTCCCTTTGTAAAGTGCAAGTAATTCTGCAAGTAATTCTGCAAATAATTCTGCCATAAGCACATTCAGATCTTCATCTCTACTTTCAATGATGTTTTGAAACCTCAAGTAATAGGCAGCGCGGTCCATCTGTTCTTCTAATCTTTTATTTATTGTCATCATTCTGTTGTCCATTAGTTCTAGTTTCTTTTCATTTTGTACTGTTCTAAGTTCCACCTCTTCTAGTTTCTGCTTGTTCTTTTGCATTGTTTGCTGTATAGTATCAACTTTGTCTTCTAATTTATTAATATTGCCTTTCAATTCCATATAATATTGCGAAATATTCCCTTGGGTTTTTATCTGTTGTTCTTGCATTTTAAGCATGGTTTCTTGAATGGTCATTAACGAAGCCTGTATTGTTTGCATATTGGCTACAGTTTGTTTTTCTGCCCCTGACATTCCTTCAATTGCCTTTTGATGGGCAGGTGATGTAATTGTCAATGTTGGACTAGATGTTGTCTTTTTTTCCATTCTCCAGGCTGATGTCATGGCACTTGTCTTATTTTCAAGCTCTATTTATTTCTACCTATTTTATTATCTCCTTTACAATATATTTTAAACTAATCTCTTACTTTCAATTTATTCCTTCATTTCAAATCTCTTTATTATAATTATATAGAATTAGCACCACTTGTTATCCCTTTCTCTATCTCAAAGTCAATATCACTATATATCTAACAATATCCTACTCAGACAAAGCCCTCCTGCCTTTCCTTATGCTCAAAGTATTAAATTTATTCTTTTTTTCCTTTTATTTATAATAAAAGGAGGAATCTAATTTCCATTTATATATAATCACCTAGATATACACTCCCCTTAATCTCTTAATATTGTAATCAAAACTTATTTATCACGATATTTCCTTAGTTCAATATACAATATTTAATCAAAGTAATTATAACCTCAAATATCACCCCAATAGAGAAGGAAAGACAAAAAGCCTCCCCTTTTAATTTCTTAATTCACTTTTAACTTAGAGCAGCAATCCAGTAGTCAGGTATTTATGAATTGAAAGATCTATATCGGCATGTATCTCTATATATCTTACTCAAATACCCCTTTTCTATTTCTTTCTATAATGTATTGTAGTTTCTCCTTTATACAATAAAAGAGGGGTCAAGGTTTAGATTCTCTATACTCACAACAATATATATTCTTCTTAAACTCTTAATATCCTACTCTAAGATTATTAATTACTACGTTCCTTAACCGAATAATCCTATTTAGTCAGGATAATTATACCATCAAGTTATTTCAAATTAAAGAAGGAGAAAGCCTTTTTTTTTATTTCTTATACCCACAATCTCCTTAAGACAGTGCTCTAATAGTCAAATACATTCAAATCATACAGGTCATACAGATCATGTTAATCATATAAATCAAACTTATATTTCAATACCAGCCTATTTTATTATCTTTAAAGTTTACAGTTCATACACCTCACTCAAAGATTTCCTTTTCTTTTCTCTCCAATCTCACCATCTCAGTCCAAACTGTTTTCCACTCTCCTCTCTTCCGCTTTGTCTTTCTACTACTCCCTCCAAGTCTCTTTCTTTATGACTCCACTCGTATCTTCTCCGTTTCTTTCCAATCCTCCTTCATCGTCTCTTTCAGCCCACTCTCTGCCAAATTTTCTTCTTCTCTGCTCCCATTAATGTCCTGCCGTCTCTTTCCGCTTGAAAATTGCTCAGTCGCTCCTTTCTCCTTGTCTCGCCTTTCTCACCTCCATCGTCCCGACTTTCCTTCTGATCCTTTCAATGTGTCTCCCATTTCACCTCCTCCTTCCTTCCAAGACTTTCTTTCCTTTCCTTCGCATCGCTCTCATGTCCCGATCGGATTTCACTTTCTCCTTCTCCACTCGCCACATCCGTCCAAGAAGCAGAGAGAAGTCAATCGTCTCTCCCTTATCACCTTCTTTTCACCACCTCCTCCTCTAGCTTCCCTGGATTTTCTTCTTCTCCCACCAGTTCTCGTCTTATTTCAATCTCCACCTTTCAGCTTCCTAGAACTATTCACTTCCAACGTATACCCCCTCTCCTTCAATCTCTTTCCGTTTGTGAAAAGTGATGAATCACAGCTCTTTCGTCTCACCGCCTGTACTATGGGGTTATCCCCCCTCACCGGAGCTCTTTTTTCCTCGGAAACAAGTTCAAGCTTACTTTTGGCAAATCATCATAGTTGCAACTTTGGGATTTTAACTTCAATGACACTTTCTGTTGATAACCTTCTCATTTCCTCCTCATTCACGGTTCAGCCATGGCCTCGGGTCTGCCATAATAAAATGACAGACACTTTCACTTCAGGTTTTCAGGGGTTTCCCTTCTTACCGGCTGGCGATCGCATTTCGCCTCGCTGTCTTCCGGGCTTCCCCTTTTCTCCGCTTGGCTCTCCAGGCTCCTCACGCCCCGAAAGGTCCCCAAAAGTGAAAAAAACGGGATCCAGAGACGGAGACCGCTCTCCCTTCACCCTTTCACCAAGGCATCACCACCGGAAGCCTCTGGAATAAGCTATTAAAAGTCTCAAAAGCAAGGTAGTTTAGTGACAGTTATTACCCAGAAAAAAATCAGGTGAAGAAGTATGTCTTTAGTTGATTTTTTAAATGTAACAATATTGGGAAAGGGGTAGAGAAATCATCAATCAATCAAGTTTCCCCTTGGAAAGATTTTGATACCTTGGGAGCTGCCACTGAAAAGACTACATTCTGAAAGCATCATACTACTAGCCAATCCTACCCAATGGAATTATGAGCAACTCCAATTGATCTAAGATCAATTGATCTTGGAAATGCATGTGTTACATTGGCATTCAAAACGTGCTCCTTACATATGGTTAAATAAGAGATGGACTGTGGATAAGGGGGTGGATAAGCAGGAAAGCACTAACGGATGTCACTGATAATCATCACACATTCAATGCTGTGGTCGTCAAATGTTGTGGCTTATAACTTTTATTATTACTAATCACACCTGCTTTCAGCCATAGATACTTGCTGGTTTTTCATATACCCTTGCCTTTATCCATACCCAATGTATCTGTATTGACTTTATGCTACATCTTGTTGATTAGGAATACAGGTGGAACTCAAAAAATTAGAATATTGTGCAAAAGTTCATTTATTTCAGTAATGCAACTTAAAAGGTGAACCTAATATATGAGATAGACTCATTACACGCAAAGCAAGATAGTTCAAGACGTGATTTGTCATAATTGTGATGATTATGGCTTACAGCTCATGAAAACCCCAAATCCACAATCTCAGAAAATTAGAATATTACATGCAATCAATAAAACAAGGATTGTACATAGAACAATATCGGACCTCTGAAATGTATAAGCATGCATATGTACTCAGAACTTGGTTTGGGCCCCTTTTGCAGCAATTACTGCCTCAATGGGGTGTGGCATGGAAGCTATCAGCCTGTGGCACTGCTGAGGTGTTATGAAACACCAGGATGCTTCAGCTCTTCTGCATTGTTCGGTCTCATGTCTCTCATCTTTCTCTTGGCAATGTCCCATAGATGGGGTTCAGGTCAGGCGAGTTTGCTGGCCAATCAAACACAGTAATCCCATGGTCATTGAACCAGGTTTTAGTGTTTTTGGCAGTGTGGGCAGGTGCTTGTCTGCTGGAAAATGAAGTCAGCATCCCCATAAAGCTTGTCTGCGGAAGGAAGCATGAAGTGCTCCAAAATCTCCTGGTAGACGGCAGTGTTGACCCTGGACTTAATGAAGCACAGCGGACCAACACCAGCAGATGACATGGCTCCCCAAATCAACACAGACTGTGGAAACGTCACACTGGACTTCAAGCGTCTTGCAGTGTGTGCCTCTCCATTCTTCCTCCAGACTCTGGGTCCTTGGTTTCCGAATGAGATGCAAAAGTTGCTCTCATCAGAAAGGAGGACTTTGGACCACTGAGCAACAGACTAGTTCTGTTTTTCTTTAACCCAGATAAGACACTTCTGATATTGTTTGTTGTTCAGGAGTGGCTTGACAAGAGGAATACAACATTTGAAGCCCATGTCCAGGATCCATCTCTGTGTGGTGGCTCTTGATGCACTGCCTCCAGCCTCAATCCACTCCTTGTGAAAGTCCCAAACACTTTTGAATGGCCTTTTCCTGATAATCCTCTCTAGGCTGCGGTCATCCCTGCTGTTTGTGCACCTTTTTCTTCCACACTTTTCCCTTCCACATAACTTTCTATTAGTGTGCTTTGATATAGCACTTTGGGAACATCCAACTTCTTTTGCAATTACCTTATGAGGCTTTCCCTCCTTATGGAGGTGTCAATGATGGTTTTCTGCACAACTGTCAGGTCAGCAGTCTTTCCCATGATTGTGATTCCTACTGAACCAGACTGAGAGACCATTTAAAGGCTCAGGAATCCTTTGCAGATGTTATGGCTGAATTAGCTGATTAGAGTGGGATACTTTGAGCTTACAATATTGAACCTTTTCACAATATTCTAATTTTCTGAGATTGTGGATTTAGGGTTTTCATGAGCTGTAAACCATAATAATCTCAATTATGACACATCATGGCTTGAACTATCTTGCTTTGCATGTAATGAGTCTATTTATAATTTAGTTTCACCTTTTAAGTTGCATTACTGAAATAAATGAACTTTTGCACAATATTCTAATTTTTTTGAATTTCACCTATAAGTTAACAGAAGATAGTTTAGATTCACATAGGATGCAGTGCTCAGAAGACCTCAGAGAAGCAACAAGGGGAAGTCTTAACACATCTAGGAAGAAGGAGATTGGAAATGGAGGTGATAGATAGCGGGTTAGATACACTTAGACAGCTCTAGAGTTTGTTGAAGATCACATGTTAGTTTTAATCTTGAGAAGGGATGGCTTGTGATCCTAAAATGAAGGCCAATTCATCTTACTAAGATGGAAATTGCCAATAAGTTCTATAACCTCTTTTCTTAATACCACAGAGTAATTTTTCAATGTAACCACACAGTGAGATGCAAACATGCTCAAATACACACATCTCTTAAATTCAAATAAAAACTTGCATAATATGCATGCTTGGAGTGGCTTCAAGCTAAATATTAGCTGAAAAAAACCCTATTGTTTCCTGTACTACTCTGTGGAATGTAAAGTGATTAAGGGGATATAAAGCTTTTGCAGAATTGGAAACTGGAAACTGGGAAACCAAAACTGTTTTTCACTCTCTTTTAAGATAAAAGAAAAAAGCTGGAATACTGTGTGGTACTGTCAGTTTGAATTCCTTTTAATAAGTTAAAAATCTGGGAATGGTTGAAATTCTGGGGATGTCAGCATTTTGCCCATGTGCATGTATAAATTTACTTCTGTATGTTTAGAACTCCCTACATATTGCCGATGGGATATGAATGAACATGGGCTAAATGAAAAACAGCTCAACTACTGTATTAATATGGAGCCCTCTTTAATAGTGATCTATCTGCCTTTCCTATTTCATAACCTTTCCCCCTTTGTTGCCTGAACAGAGTTATCCAGAGAACTGGTATCTGTCTGTAGGGGTGTGTGTGTTCATGTGTGCACGTGTGCATGTGTGCACACACATATGTGTGCATACACACAAGCAGAAGTGCAATTTCCCTGCCTGTAGGTAATATCTATTTGCTGACCTCCTGCATTTTCTCACATCTTCTATCCTTCCCTATACAAAAAAAGTATCTTTTAAGTGGAAAATAGTCCATAAATGAAGGCCATTTAACTGACAATAAAGTAAATAGTCTTGGGTCTTGTTCAGTGGTACAATCCTCCTATCTTTCAATAGTTGTCTGAAAGCAGTTTCAACCAAAAATGCATCACTTTCCTTCTGCTATTTCTGCAATGAGCTGACGTTAGGTTGGATTTGAAGACTTATTGTCCAAGAAGTTACTGCATAAAAATAAGTCCAATTATCTTCACCTTAGGGAGTTGTGAGTTGCAGAGGCCTGCAATGGACTTGCAGGCAGCTATTTCTGACAGGAATCATTCAGCACTCCAGGATGATATGTCAGAGAATTCAGTGACCATTCAATTGATTTTAAAAAAATGGACCCTAAAGATGGACTGGCACAGTTTACTAAAAAGGCATACAAAATACCAAAGTTCAACAGGTGAACCTTTAGCATCATAAGAAAATTTCAGAGGCATTTGTGTTTTATTCTTTTGGGGTATGAAGGTACTAAATATATAGCAGGTTGTCAAAGAAATATGCTGATGGATACTTTAGAGTCATCAATTATTTTTATCACGTTAATAATGGATTTGTGCTACTTTCAGTCATATGAAGTGCATCTTCAATAGGAGAAAATGTTCAGATATTTATTTGCCCCTTTTATGCAGAAACAAAAATATCTGAGAGGAAAAAAAGGAACCTCAGATCTTACTGTTGTAAATTATTTGTATCCTGACTTTATTATTTTTACAAATAACTCCAGGTGGTGAACATATTCAATGCTTCTTTCCCTCTCCTCTTTTCCCCACAACAACCATTCTGTGAGGTATATTGGGCTTAGAGAGAGACTGAGTGACTGGCCTAAAGTCACCCAGCTGGCTTTGATAAGGTGGGTCTTGAACTCAGGATCTGCCTCTTTCTAACCTGGTGCCTTAACCCCAAACTGGCCCCAAGACTAAATTACAGCTAGCCCTCGGCTTATAACTTCAACCGAGTCCAAAATTTCTCTTGCTCTGAGAGACATTTGTTAAATGAATTTTGCCCCTTTTACAATCTTTCTTGCCACGGTTGTTAACTGAATCACTGCAGTTGTTAACTTACCAACAACTTACAGTTGTTAAGTTGACTTTGCTTGCCAGAAGGTCACAAAAGGTGATCACATGACCCTGGGACATTGCAACCATCATAAATATGAACCAGTTGCCAAGCATCTGAATTTTGATCATGTGACCATGGGGATGCTGCAATGGTTGTAAGTGTGAAAAGTGGTCATAGATCACTTTTTTTCCAATGCCATTGTAACTTTGAACAGTCACTAAATGAAGTGTTGTAAGCCGAAGACCACCTGTATCAGTAAAGCAATAAGAAAGAATATTTGGTTTTCTGATTCTCTTATCAGCTCTGTTCCACATCAATAGAAGGATATCTCTATATTGTAGTATAAGCAGCTTCTGAATGTGGATTCAGAATAGGTTTCAGAATATGTCTTTTAAACTCCTGTTGTTCAAATGCATGAATGCATGCTGTGTGTGCATATAAAACAGATATATTGCAATGCTTGAATATTGTTTATTTCAAACTCTTAGTATGTGCTTTATGTTGGACATGAGAACTCTCACTAAGGAAGCATATTTTTCTGTCTTTTAAATGAAAGATGTGTTGCAACTCCCAACCTTTCTACATAACTCATCTTATTTCTGAGGCTTACATGGAAAGCTGCTTTAAATATTTCTTGTTGCTTAGTCCTTTGGATTATTTTCAGTGGAAGTTTCTGAAACCCTTTACCGAAGTAAGTGAAATGGGACCCACCAAGATTGGCTGCCATTATTCTTCACAGATATGTTGACAGAAACCAGCCCTACTGGAATTCCACAAAGTAACGAAGCATGTGCTAGTGGGCTGCCTATCATAATTACAGGCATGGATGCGTGTGAAATTATTCAAAATGCTTCAGCATCCTATGAATAAATATGAAGCACTGGCAGCAGATATTGGTAATTATGTGAATACTAGGAACTGCCTTTCATCTTGAGCCAAATCAGAATAGGTTATAAGCCTTTGCCTTTACGATACCCAAAGTATAATCAAGATGGACAGACTTTTCTTATTTCTTTTACAAGCCCCCTGCTTCTAATTTAAGGTTACAGCCAGAAGGCGACATTATTGTATGTTGAATAATGTTTCTAAATGGGAAGAAGCAAGTGTCTGCAGCTCTAGGATAATAAATAAAAATTGGCAAAATTCTGAGTTTGAGAGAGTGTTGATTTACAATAAGAGCAATTTTTTTCTCTTAAGCAGCTAGCCATTAAGTCAAGAATTATCTTTCTTCATTCCAATTATCAGTGCTTGCTGACCAGATCACTATAGAAGTCTAGAAAGTTCTCAAGGTTCTTACCCAACCAAATCAGCAAAAATACCATGAGGGAACTCTGCAAAAGAGCCCACAGGTTTAGATGATGTTTGCACTAACTCCAACATTTCTGCCCAGTTCTGCCCCATATAGGATGGCAAATATATGTAGCACTGAGTTGTTACACTTATCAAAAGAGAGCTTATTTGAGTCCAAAGGGTTTCTGCTGAGTTATGCCAGTATGAAAAACACACGGGAGGGGAAGGAAATAGTGTACTTATACAGGCTTCTAATCATTTTGCACCATTGAATTCCATGATAGGCTCAGGCCTCAGCAGCTTTTATTTGCATTTTGAGATATACTACATTGCAAGAATTGCTTTGAATGGAAATTGTGTTCCTTGCAGCTGAGCTATTTTTGAAATTGATCTGAACATTTCTGTTAGTGCAAAATGCAACTTCCTGAATGTTTCTGGGTGGGAGAAATGTAACATATACATTAAAAGGCTTAACACAGTGGGGATTCAAATTATTTGAAGGTCTACCTTCAGCCTTACCATTTAACATCAGGAACGGGATGCTTTTTGAAATACCAGCTTTTAAAAAATCATAAATAGTTATTTATTCATGTAACCCTTTCCTTAAAGGATTAATTACAAAGAAATCTTATATGTTTACATATGTGTTTAAATTGGTTGATAGAATAGAATAGAATAGAATAGAGTAGAGTAGAGTAGAATAGAATAGAATAGAATAGAATACTTTATTGGCCATGTGTGATTGGTCACACAAGGAATTTGTCTTGATGTAAATACTCTCAGTATATATAAAATAAAAGATAAAAGGAAACAGTTAATATAAATTGTAAGGATACAGGCGACAAAGTTACAGTCATACAATCACAAGTGGGAGGGGATGTGTGATAAGGAGTGATGAGAGGATTAATAGTAATAGTAGTGCAGATTTTGTAAATGGTTAGACAGTGTTGAGGGAATTATTTGTTTAGCAGAGTGATGGCTTTCGAGAAAAAATTGTTCTGCGTCTAGTTGTTCTGTGTGCAATGCTCTATAGTGTCATTTTGAGGGAAGGAGTTGAAACAGTTTATGTGCGGGATGTGAGGGGTCTGTAAATATTTTCACAGCCCTCTTTTTGACACGTGCAGTACACAGGTTCTCGATTGAAGGCAGGTTGGTAGTAATAGTTTTTTCTGCAGTCTTTATTACTCTCTGAAGTCTGTGTCTGTCCTGTTGAGTTGCAGAACCAAACCAGACAGTTATAGAGGTGCAGATGACAGACTCAATCATTCCTCTGTAGAACTGGATCAGCAGCTCCTTGGGCAGTTTGAGCTTCCTGAGTTGGTGCAGAAAGAACATTCTTTGTTGTGCTTTTTTGATGATGTTTTTGATGTTAGGTGTCCATTTTAGGTCATGTGATATAGTAGAACCTAGAAATTTGAAGGTTTCTACTGTTGAGATGGTGTTGTCTAGTATTGTCAGAAGTGGTAGTATGGGAAGGTTTCTTCTAAAGTCTACCACCATTTCTACGGTTTTGAGTGTATTCAGTTCTACGGTTTTGAGTGTGTTGATTGATTAACACTTAGTTTTATTAAGCTTGCTGTGATGTTGAGGTTGAGGGTGAGGGTGACAACATGGGATTTTGTTTTTCTAAGTTGCATTAATAGAATTTTCTTCTAAAGGACATCCTACAAATCAGACGGGGAAGTATTGTAGGTGGACTTGTCTTCAGGGCTTTCTTTCATTGAAGAAAACATGATTTTATATATATTAATAGCTTTATATCAACAAAAGGCCCTGTCCTCCAGCAAGGTGCCTAAATGTTACTAGGCTGTACTTTCTGCCTAAGCCCACCATCCTGCACTCACTTGGAAGCTACTTCTGACTTAGGACTTTCTAGACTAGCATGTGATATGATGTGAAAAGCCAGAGTTAGAGGGAGATACTCTTCCAGTTGGCACATAGTGTTTGTTTTAAGACATAGCACCCATTTTATTTTATTCATTTAAATGTATATAGCTGCATCTCTTGCCAACGCAATGCATATGATCCACATGCCTGCTGCATCACAGAAATGTCCTCACTAGCAGAAATTTAAAAAGTGCCTTGAAAGTTTTGAAAGATACTTTCCTCAAAGCTTGTTTAGAGATCAGCATTTTATGGACAGCAGACCTAAGCAGAAAATTATTTTCATAGCTCTTATAAAGATTTACCCTTGATATTGGACAAAAGTGTTCAAACAGCATTAGGAAAACATTCTGACATGGAATCATTGTGCACGTAGCATTTTTCACTTTGCCATCATTTAAAGATGCTTCTACAATGCCATCAAATAAATCATTGGCACAAGGAATATGTATTTATTCATTTATTTCACATGAGTGCATGATGCCTTAGTGCTTAGTCCAAAACCAACCAATGGTATTACACTTCAATCCAATAATGATTAAAGCATAACTTCATATACCCTGAAAACACAAAAATATAATAAATAAAAAAAATAATCCAGTCACATAATGCTAAAGAAAACCTATTCATAATAATATCATCACACTGCAGAGGGAATCCAACTGTCAGTCTTCCTCAAAGATGGTGAGTCCAGGAGGACCCTCAAGGTTAAGTATAGGGGAGTGCCTGCTCATGAAAAAATAATTATAGATTCAACTCTATGGAATTCAATTGATTTAGAACTCTATATGGATAATTCTTGGCACCAGCTCATTTATTTATTCATTTGTTTTAGATGGCACCTGACTCCAGACCTACTGTAGATGGATGGCTCACAATTCAATGAACAAGACAAAAATAGAGCATACTGTAAACAAAAGAATATATTTTTTCAAAAAAACCAAACAAGGTAACAAAACTGGCCAATGTCAGAGAGAGAGAGAAGGAGACAGAGAGAGAGGGAGAGACCACACAAACAAAGGGGTCTAGTCACCAATTGCAATAGCAATAGCGTTTAGATTTATATACCACTTCATAGTGCTTTGTAGCACTCTCTAAGTGGTTTACAACATAATCAGCATATTGCCTCTAACAATCTGGTTTCTCATTTTACTGACTTGAATCCCTCAGGATTGAATTCCTGGCAGTGGGAATGCAGAGCTAGCCTGCAACACTGCATTGTAATCACGGTGCCACTACAGCTCCGCAAGACCTGGGAGGACAGTTAGGTATCTAAGGCCTTCCCAAATGCCATAAGGAAAGAACCTCCTAGATCTCAGGGGAACCTCATTCCAGAGGGCAGGAATTTAGCATCATTAATATCTGTGCCTTGTACTGAAATACTGATTTCATTTTTCCCCCTTGCCCCTATTATTTTTTGGAGAACATCCCATATTTGCTACTTTACCTTCCAGGATTGTACCTCCCTCTGCTTAAGTCTTATGCTATTGAAGCTCCCATGCAAAATCAGCATCACCATGAGGCTGCTTAACATGAAACAATTTTTATTTTATTTATTTATTTTGTCAAGCAATTATAAGATAACAGGTATAAGTATGAACATAGTTATGGATACATATAAGAAAAATAAAAAGAAACAATGGACAGGGATGGTAGGCACATTGGTATGCATATGCACGCCCCCTACAGACCTCTTAGGAAAGGGGTGAGGTCAATAGTAGACAGTCTAAGATTAAAGTTTTTGGGGTTTGGGGAAGAAACCAGAGTCAGGTAGAGTATTCCAGACATTGTTTAAAGCTGAAGTATTCATTGACAAGTAGGACATTGCAATGTATAATTTTATATACTGGTGGCATAAGGTATTCTGCAATGAGTAGAGGAGTAGAGAACTCTTCTTGTGAAATATTTCTGGACTTTCTCAACTGTGTTAATATCAGATACGTAATGTGGGTTCCAGACTGATGAGCTGTATTCAAGTATTGGTCTAGCAAATGTTTTGTGTGCTCTAGTTAATAGTGTGATATTACCAGAGAAAAAGCTATGCAGGATTAGGTTAACAACTCTTAATGCCTTTTGGGCTATGTAGTTACAGTGGGCTCTAGCACTTAGATCATTAGAGATGAGTATTCCAAGGTCCTTGACAGAGTTTGGATCATGAACAAGGTCTTGACAATTCAGCTTGTATTTTATTTTCTGATTCTTTTTGCCAATATGTAAGACAGAACATTTATTTGTTGAGATTTTTTTGACTTTGGATAAGTATAAAAACATCCCCCAAAGCATGCAAAAAGCGTTGACATCCTAATAACAGGCACCCCTTGGTGAATGGTAGAAAACAGGATTGTGTGGAACACTGTTACTTTAAATGGAATCAATAAGAAAACAC